CAGATGTTATTCAGTTATAGAACTATTACATCCAGTAACCATCTCAGTATGCCAACTTCAAAATGAAGTTAGTGGGGAAAAATGTTGTGTTGTGAGAGTCATGTACAGTGTCATGGTTTACAGGAAAATTCAAATAACAGTGCAGATGTTGATGAAAAAATTCTTCATGCTGTTATGGAAACTGAATTTTGTAGCATGTGAATGTTCAAGTAAGGGTAATTTGAATTGTAACAAATAGAAACACAATTATGTGTCATTATTTCACTGCAAGAAGAGATCAAATATGTCATGAGTATAGAAGTGTGTATGTGGAAGTAAAGGAGCTGTACATTAACCAAATGGTTGGACAGAGTATTAGAATTAATGCTTTTCATTTCTTGAAATTTCATTTCAGACCTAATCTTGATGGGAAATGATTATTCAGTTTGTAACCTGACAACTTTGCTCTAATAGTGTCTTCAGGATTTTCAGTGTTGAAGTATGCTATAGAGGGATTGTCTTTCTATCTCTTCTGTTAATAACTGACTCTTTAAACATCCAAATCAGACATTTATATTAATAAATGGAGATCACAGTTTCTCATTAATAATTATATTTAATTTCTACAAAATTGGGAGCGGTGGCAGAAAATGTGTCTCCAATTATTTTTACACTTCACCAACTGAAACTAGGATTTTACCCAGTTGACTGCAAAGCAGGAGTTAATACAGTATGTGAAATGATTTGATGAATTCAGAATCTTAGTTAATAATGCCACTAAACATGTGTCTTATCTGATTTTAATTGGCAGAAGGTGCCTAGATAGGTTGCACTGTCAAGCCAGAATTAGTTCTCAATTGTCTAATAAGGATCTCCTGAAATGGGTGTTGCTGAGCAGGACCTTTTTGAGGAGCTGCCTGCCTGAGCACCACATTAAGTGTTGAGGTTAACACCAGAATTAGATTATTATAATGACTAACAAAGAATTAATAACACAAGAAGCTGGCAAAAGTCACCAGATTTACCTGGCAGTGAATGCCTTTCTTCATGAGGTATTTAACATAACTGAAGTAAAACTAGAATTATGAATGTCTCCAGAGAGGCATTTACGTGTGAGATAGATCTATAGATAGATACATGAAATGCCTGATCCTGAGCTTTGCTCCACTCCCAAGATGTGCTTATTCTGTTCTCTGATCTCTGGCTGATACAAAAGTCTCTCCAATTGCAGATATGTTATACTATTTTTATCAGAAACTTCTCTCTCTAATTTTATCCTGAAGAATAGGCATTGAGATGGGAAATAAATTTCTTCATGTAAACGCTCACAACATCAGCCAAGAGAACACTGCAGTTCCATGTACTGAGTATGTAAAGAAACCCCAGAAAATACAGTTTGCATTTGGATACAGGGAGAGCAATAAATCAAAGGTATGAATAAACCAGCAGCTGATGAAAAGGACTGGTTATTTTAAGCTATTTTCTATAGATGCACCTCCGGCAGAACTTGACACCAAGACAAAATCAATGAAACTGAATCGTTTGCCAAACAAACGCTGGGCAGATCAATCAGGAATGCTTAAAAGCTAAACAATGACCCTGTGGGAAGGAGGAATTGATTGCCTTAGCAGGTTGCTTTTTTCTTCAGAATGGGCCAAGGTGAGAATGTAGAAAAGAACTTGAGCCTTTAATATGTGGACATTCCACTGCTGAACGGGCAGTGCCTGGCAAGCCTCTCTGCCTGGACCCTGCTCAGGCTTCTGTGGCTCAGAAGGGACAGAATGAAGAGCAGGATGTTTCATTAAAGCCAAACAGGTGTAGCTGGGACAGGTGTAGGCTTAGATAAATTGTGAACTTACCTCAGGGACTTGGGGGAGCAGGGCTGGGACAGTTACTGCAGCACAGCTACTCCCTGGTTTAGATTTAGGTATTTTGAATTTCTATTTTGATCTGAGTAAAACAATCAACTAGAGGCTAACTCAGCACCCCCAAACTAACCTAGGGACTATTTTTACTGAGTGTGACAAACGAGAGGATCTGCAAACCTTGTAGGTAATGGCTTCTTCTTCCTTCTTCATCCCAAACACTGGGTGGCAAAAAGATTGGTCTCAATTCCATCTTCATGTGCATTTGCCAGAAAGACAGACAGAATCATTGTAAGGTCTTTATGCTTCTGCCCAAGAGTTTGTGGAATATTTGACCACTTGAACTGTCAATATATTTAGAAAGTGTCTTGGTTAGTGCCAGAGACTGTGTAGGTATTGTTCTACCTCTAGGCCAGAACTAAATGATTGAATCTCAGAACAGAAGACAGAACAGAGGGGAGATGATTCTTTCCCTCCTCCTTGCTTACCTTGTGTTTTGGGTTGGTCATTTTGGCAAGAAAGCCAGAGCTGAAGCAGGCAAGTGAAATGGGTGGTTCTCCTGTCAGGTTTGGAAAAAGGGAGGATGAAAAGGGGGCTGAAAGGCTCTTAAATTTATGTCTCTTTTAATACTTTGAACTTTTTCCTGTAGAACATCTGTTTCCATGGAAGTTGATCAATTCAATTTCAGCTCCAGTTTTCTTTTCATGCTGGATGCATGAAGCTGTAATTCCTCAGCTATACATTGATTTCTGTAAACCTACATTAGATAATGATGTGTCTTAGATTGCCATTATAAAAATTAGCTAAGACATTTAAGATAAATTAATCTCTAATTTAGTTATTAGATATATCATGTTGTGGAGTAGCATCATTTAAATTAGCAGAATTACTTGCAATTTCTGTCCTTTGCTCACAGACATTGGTGTTCATGTAATTACCCTAAATGACCTGATTACCTCAGCCCTGCCAGACTGAAATTATTTCATCTCCCTTCATTTTAGGGGAACTCCTTCTGCCCCTTTTGCCCTTTTCCCTCTGAATAGCTTTGCTCCATTGGGCTGGCACTGATGTCGTTTTGGGGACATGCCAGCAGGAGGAGCTTGTGCATTAAAATGTGCTTTCCATAAAGAATCACCAAATGACAGTAATTTCACTCCACTCGTGCTCTCTTCTGCAAGGTAACTCCCCTTGTACCTGCCAGGGCTCCCCGTGTGCCTCAGACAGCCAGAGCTCTGCCAGCCATGGCCACTGTGCTGGTGAATTAACCTACTTCAGATTGAGCAAAGCCCAGTGAGGCACTGAGCATTTCATTTCATTCCATTATATGTTTGATTTTTACATTATTTTACATTTACATGTTCTGAAAAATACATATCTTAAAACAAAATCACAACCCTCTGAAGTCAATGTCACATGCTCTCTTTTACAAGAATTACAGTATCAACACTGCATTGCTCAATTTTATAAATAGTATAAAAATTATGAGTAATAATATTCATGTTACTAAAAGAAATCCATGGTAATGAGCACAGCTGAAATTGGATTCACATGATCAGAATTCTCTACAGCAACTTAGATAGCATTGCTGAGTTTCAGAGTAAGAAATTGTGGGGCCACAGTTGGAAGTCCAATTATCCTTGGCTACCAAGAATTAATAACATAGGCTAAATTAATTTTTAGACTTTATTTTAGTGACAAGGAAAATAAGGAATTAAAGATCTAACATATTAATCTGGTTGTTGAAGAAGAGGAGGAGGTATGCCACAGGTATTTTATGCATTTTTTCACACAAAGAACTTCTTAGTTACCTTGGAAAACTAAATACTATAATAGGACATGGTGAATCTTGCTTTAGGAAAATCCTTTATTATTTTAACTAAAGCTATTTCAGAGTTTTCTGCTTAGAAATTTAGATCAGTTAAATACCATTAAAAAACCCCACAAAACTTCATTTTCTGTTGCTTAGCATCTGAACTGAACATAATTTTTCCATACTGTTTTTTTTCTCCTCCCTTTGTGGGGGCAGCTGTGTGTGCACTGTGGTTCTGAAGCCAAAGGCCGGCCAGGACAGCTGCCCTTCCTTGCAGAAGTGCTCTGCTGCCTGCAAGTGAACTTGCCAGTCAATCCCAGGACTGGTTAAAGGCTTTTGCTTTGCTGACATCTCTCCCATGTGGGTGCTCCAAATGCCTCAGTGGGGCCTGAGTGTGCTGTGGCTCTGGCAGGAGGGATTGACCTGTGTGTGAGAAAGGTCACTCTGCAGCAAAAGAAACTGCACAGAGAACTTTGGGGATTGTTTTAAAATATGTCTGTGTTTGTTTAATATGGCTGGAAGTGCAGAGGAGCAATTTCTTCTTTCTGGACTTATCACAGTCTGAAGATAGATATTATAAAGTTGGGGTTTTTCACTTAGGAAAATAAGCTTGGCTTTGTATGCTGTGTAATTTTATTGCTTAGCTGAGTTGCTAAATGCAAAACTTAGTTTTATTTCTTGATCTGTGTGTAAGTAGTTTAATTAAAAACCATGTGGAGTCCTGTAAAAGAATGGCAAAAGTACAATGCTATCCCTTTATACTGTAGTTTTCCGAGGAGTCTATAGCCTGAATATCACCTAGGTAAGCTGGAATTTTCTGTTACTGCTTGTTTTTGAACTTAATGTACTTCTTCTCAGAGTCTTTTGCAAAAGGCTCATTCATGTAAGACTGTAGTCTGTTGTGGGTCAGGAGAGACTGAAGAATTCAGGGATGTATTACCAATGTACTTCATCATGTAATGATACATCCATCCATGATTAGAGGATCGTTAATTGAGCATCATCCAAGCTCGTCTATTTTGCTTGTACTTTTATCACTTCAAAATGCTTTTCTACCATTTCTGATCTGCAACTCATAGAGATCCGCTTTTATCCTGTAACTTGCAATCTTCCATAAAGTATTGAAAGTTCTACTAGTTCTCATTTCTGAAAGAGCCCATTCTGTAATTCACACTTGAGACAGCAGTAGAAGGAATGCAATTCCGTGGTGTTGAAGATGTGTGCTGTACTTCGCAGTCATGTGCCAGGCTCTCATAACATCTGCTTTTTTCATGTTGGAAGTAACTCCACAACAATTTCCATAGAACATGAATGAGCTGTTCTGTGTTTGTTTTTTGTCTCCCTAGTGATATCCCAGCCTCTGGAGAAGCAGTGAGCAAAAGCAATCGCTCCAGAGTGAGCACGCGCTTCCCCAAACTGTCCCGCGGCCACCCCCGGGAGCCCCGGAGCCTGGAGCCTCAGAGCGGGGACCTCTGACCCTGCCTGCCCTTGGCACCACGGGCAGCACGTCCTGGCAGTTGTTCTGTCATTCCTTCCTAGCCTATATTTATAATTTAAGCTCCTGAAGAGACTACAGCTGCATCAACTTAAATCCTGAAAAGAGACATTCATTACCAAGGGTCATATCCTGATTAACTACTTTGGAAGGCAGCAATCACTTTCTCCAAGAATACGAGGGCTCTTCACGAGAGCTCAGCAAACTGCTCGGCGTTTCCTTTGTTTTGTAAAGCTGCACTGCACAAATTCTCCTTTGTTCCTCTGAAGTCCTTCTGTCACAATGAATTCCTTGTTTGTATTATGTTGTCCCTTTTCCATGTACAGTTTTCTGTTCCAGAGAGACGTGGGCTTCATGTCAAGACAATTTTTTTTTCTCCTTAGAAGAACCTTCATGATTATCACTACTTAATGTCAGAAGGATGTACTTAAAAGAACCTCACTAATTTATTACCTTTTGTAAATAGAAAGACTGGGTTGTTTTGGTTTTTTTTATTGTCAACCTCTGACACACAAAGGTTTTTTAAAAACTTCACCATGTAGATGATGAGAAAAACATTACAGGTGGAAAAATAGCTTTTGTACATTTCTAGATAGATTGTCTCAATAGCATTCATCTGAGCGAAGTAATTCTTTAAAATCAGAGAATGTAATTATTTTTAGTGAAATTTCAGTCTTGCTGTAAGGCAGGTGCAATATTATTCATTTCTACAAACCACCACAAAGATACACAACATTAGTGTGGTACAAAACAGTGCTTTGAAGTCTTGGATTATATTTTGTTATTAATTTGTTGCTTATGTTACAGAACAGTCCATCATTAACAGGGTAGGGTGGAATTCTTAATCTGGTTTTGTAATGCCCTTTCACATGGTGATACTTAAAAATTGCCTGTAATGAAAGTGCCTGTTACCCATCACCTCTTATGGAAAAGTAATTTGTAATGCTACTACTGTAAGAGTAACTAAAACATTGACAAGAATTGTTACAAGTGATGGAAGTCCTGACATGGATTAACTGGAATCCAGTTCAGCATCCATTAGCTGCACTGCCATAGGCAGTTAATTATGTTTTAGCTATCTTCTTCTCTTCATTAAGTTTAAGCAGTGTATGTTCAAATTTTCTATTAATTGTGTTCTAGTTTTCCTTTATGTAAGAACATTTTTCCTCTCAGAAGTTTTTTTGGATAACATTACCTAAATTGATGTATCTTGTCATTTTACTATCCATTCATTATATTATTCTCCAGGAAAAAAAAGCTGATGATTACAGATTTTGTACCTTGGTGCTTTATAAAGTTCCAGCAAACTGGAATTTGTGTTCTGCAGTGCTGTGAGCAGTGAGTGCTGTTCAGGGAAGTCAGTGCTCAGTTGTTTCCAGTGGCACCTCTCAGGTGAGAGAGGCTTTGGTACCCACAGGGAGCGGCAGCAGCGCTGCCTGAGCAGGGGCCCCACGTGCTGGGTTCCCCACACTGAAATGTGGAACTTCCAGACTGCACTCAACAGAAAAAGGCAGCAGAGAGGAGTGGGATCCACCCTCCAGGTCAGAGATTTCAGTAGGTGAAATACCACTAAGTAAAACCATATCACAGAAATGAACCAATATTCCCCAGTCAGTAAGAGATGTCAGGTACCACACAGACAAAGAGAAAAGCCCAAAGGCCGGCCTGGGAGCTCACTGCTGTGTGTTCATTAACAAATTAATTACTGTTGGTGTTTTGTGTTAGTTATAGTGGGACACTCACTCACTTAAGAAGAAAGGAAAGTGAGTAGATTGGCAGTTAAGTATCTTCTCCAAACTCTTCAGCCTGATGTACTGCTGATGATTTAACTTGTCTTTGTTGGAAAGAGAAGCTGTAATGATGGTCCCACTTTGAAACAATTTTAACTCATTTTTCAGAAAGCGGAGACTTGGTTAGTAGAAATATGGCACATATACTAACACTGAATTGCAAGTAAATTTGAAAGAAAACACTGTGTGGAAACCTTTGTGATGTATCTGTTACATGAAGCTGTATTCATTTTCAAGAAATAATTCACAGATTCAAGTACTTATTCAGCAAACTGCAAATGGTAAGGAATTTCATTTACTGCAGACTGAATTTCTTTTTAGTTGTTTAAAAAGACTTTTGTGTATCTGCATTTGGCTCTTAAAATTATTTCATTCCTGATTATCTTTCTTCTTGTAATTTTTAAAGTATGTATGTAGATCACATAAAGATACTAAACTTGTTTACCATGTACAAATTGCTCTTTGTTAACTTTAGCTGAATTATGTATCAGCTGCTAAGATGACAGTCTGCAAACAATGTTCACTTGGTGATACAAGATACCATCATGGGTGCATTATTAATCCTTTCAAAAGCTCTGCTAAAATCCCAGCAAATAATCAAATGAAAGCCTTTCTTCACAAGGCATTCCCACTTTATACCCCTGCTTATGTAGAAGACTACAGAGGTACTGCATGAGTGCCAGGAGGTGCCTACTGCCAGGAATGCCCAAATTTTTACCACCTCAAGACATTGTGAAAGGCTCTGGCTTAGAGTCCTGTATATCTGTTACAAATCCCACTTCTGTTCATTCACCAGAACCAGCAAAGCCTCTTGAAGAAAGTTGACCAGTTGGTATTAAGACCCCCAAGTACATTATTCATCTGAAATCCCTGTAACAATGATTCTGCCAGTGGAATGATTTTATCAGTTTATTCTCTTCACCGAATTCCATCCAGTTACAATTTTTGTACAGCTCTAAACTTCCTTTGGCTGACTCACAGCTCTTCAACCCCTGTCTGTGCTCAGTGGGCAGCTCACAATGAGCTGCTGGCTTCATTACTCATGAATTATTAATTAATTCATTACTGACCCTTCCTGCTGGCACCAGTGGCCAGTGCTGTAATCCCAGGATGAGGACTCAGGACAGTTCCTGGAGCTGTTCCTGGCTGGTAGAGCCAGCCTAGAGCAATTTGTGGTCTTGTTAGGATTTCATTCCTGCTTTGTCTTTAGATCAGGGCTTCTCCTCTGCATCCTTTAGTGACTGTTCAAAATAAACTGTAAAAAAGTGGCACAACTTCTACTGCACTGCTGCTGTCCAGTCCCCTCCACCATGAACCCTTCCCTAAGAAACATAGAGCAGGCAGAGCTCTTCCAGCTTTTGCAGATGTCTCCATCAGTATTCAAAGACTGACTGTGGTTTTTCAGAATCTCATTTATTTAGAGATTCTCTCATTCATTATACAGAAGGCAATGTGTCAACTTGGGTTTTGCAAATTAAATCAAAGTTCTCAATAATAATAATAATAGTAATAAATCTGCAAGGTTCATATGAGGCAGGATATTGACGTAGCTATAAAGGTTTAAATTGATATGTCCATTAAGTCACATATTCTTAGGAAGATAATAATTTCAAAGCCAGTCTTTTTAATGGAATATATTGTTGATGTGATAGTTGTAATCAAATTATGCTACCTTACAGAATCTACTGCAAGTCATAAACCATTGTGATTGAATTAATACAAGCATGTAGAGAAAGAACAGAGTGGTATTAAAGATTACTGGCTCAAAATTGGGACCTATTGCTAAGGTGGGGTGTTTCTTTGGAACAGTCATGTTTTATTGTACAGAACAGTATCTACATGGTAGCTGTCAAATTAATTAATACAAACCCTCTAACAATGGGGTTGACTGACTCAGAGCAGCAAGCTAATAATAAATGAGACTTGGTGAATCCCCAGTGAACCAAAGATGCTTCTGCCAGGACACATTAATGATTAAGAACCTGGTATTTTGTTACCAGAATCAGTAATTGGTGCTTCCTGATATTGATGTCATTATTTTTCCTTCAAAGAATGCAGGGATCTCAGTTCTGCTAGAAGTTTCATGCCATTTCAAAGGTTCAAACCCCCCACCCCAAAATATTTTTCATCCAATGTCTTGGAATTCTGGGAACAGATAATCTATACCTGTGGAGAGAAATACAGTTACCTGCTTGAAATGACAGTGAGAAACCTGTGGAACAGCTGTTCAAAAGGAAAAAAACCACTTTTGGACCAAAAAGACCAAAAACTGCTGCTATTCACCCTTGCAACTCTAACCAACCTTAGGCTCTTCCAGCTGGAACTCTAGGATATATGAAAAGAAACCTGTTCCACACACATTTTTCTCCTTGGAAACAACAGAAATGCTTCTGAATTGGATCTTGAGTCACTTCTGGAAAAGTGATTAAACAATTCAAGAAAGTAAAGGATTTCCCTCCTTCATTTTCTGTAGGTTAGGGTATTTCAGTCAGCACCCTGCATCACATGGAATATTAACTTGATTATTATTTTGAAAGTTTGGTAGTTTCACAGCATTCTGTATTCAAAGAAACACTTTACTATAGGAAGATATCTATATGAAATGCAAAATGTATTTTAAAATATTGATTAACCTGCTTGTGTTTCACATTTTGAATGGAAGATAAACCACTTGTTCTACAGTGGTGTGACACTGTACATTTCAATTTATTTCTCACTCTACACTAACTGTATTTTTATGATGCAGTTATAGAGAACTTAGATTATTTATAAATTTCTTCTACAAAAATTATGAGAGCATAGTTCTAATCAATATTGATGGCTTAGTTTTTCATTCATAATGGCATGAATTTATTCTAGACAACAGCACTGAAATGTTTAGAAAGGAATGACTTTTCCAAATTTACAAATTGCTGCAAATAACCAGACTTAAAAAAAACCACCTGTTTTTTATCACATCAAAACAGAATTTATTGCACTTCCCTGTAGGGGAAAGAGTTCTTTTAACAAGATTTCAGAAACCATCTCCATGCCACGACAGTAGTTAAACTGTGAGAAGTGGGTTTTTTGAGTGTTAATCATTTAAGACACTAAACATTATAAAAATGTAAGTGTGGTTGAAAATACAGTTCTGAAAGGCTGTGCTTTACCTTCTTAGTTAACACTGAGATGAAGAACTCAGTGTCTTGGAGCTGGGACCAAACCTGTTGGCAACTGAAGAAGCTGAATTTCCTTCTTGACCTAGGGGAGGTATTTTTTTTTGTTGTTACTATTAAACTGTAGAAAAGATATTATTAATTAAGCATATATATGTACAATATTCACATAAGTATTAATAAACTGTAATATTATTTTAACTTGCTATGCTAATGTTTACATATAGAATTTTTAAGCAAATGTGTATATATATAAAATTTTCTAAATACTTTCTTGTTTGTTTTTTTTTTAATATCCTGTGGTAATTTTATTATAACCAGGTAAAAATATGCTACTTTATCAAGAAGAAAATAAAAAATAACATCTTTTCTTTGAAGTAGAGTGTTTCTACATCCTATTTGTCCAATTCAGCTGTTTTGAAATTGCTTCTTTATGTTCATTTACTCAATATGTTTCTAGAATGATGTATGTACATAACAGACTTTGTTCAAATCTTATTTCTTCACATGAGAAGTAGTATTT